CCCCCATTGGGGGGAGATGGGCAGTTGAAAATTTTAATTAATAAATAAATAATAAATAAATAAATCTCCATTTTTAGGTAAACAAGCATTTTGTATTTTTGCATCAACATCCAAACTACGCTATGCTTGCCTGATCCATTCCTAATCCTGTATAGTTCCAAATAAGGATCAATTCCTCATCCAAACAAGTATACTGTAAGTTTCATAATACATTGTGATGATGATGATGATGATGTGAAAGGTTGTAACAGTGGAGAATATATGCAGCTCAGGGTTGAATTGCTGAGTTCTTGGTATTCCCTGAACTTACGTATGTTTCATTACCAGCCTAGGTAACATCATCAGTGCACTGATTATGATGTTACTTAGCCTGGTAATGAAACATCTGCAAGGAAAAAAGCAAGCTTGGAGGAAACCAATGGGACAGGTCCCTGCTCACACAAATAACCTTGCTGAACTGGGAATTTTGACTGAAAAGCAGGGATTGCGATCCCTGGATGAGGCCTGTGGATGCAGACCCAATTCCCTTTAGTTAGTCAAGTGCCACTAAGCCATGTTTGACTCCTGCTGGCTGTATGAACACATCCTGGACAATTAGTAATGACTCATAGCTCTTCCAAGGACATGCCAGGAATCTCTGATTCCATACATCCACCTTATCTGTCTCTTCCCTTCTGGCTACATCTGTCAAGCTTGCCAAGTACTATATAATTGTTTTTGAAGTCCATCACCTGCTTGCATCACATGTCCCAAACTGGTGGGGTTCTGCTTGTTGATCATCACTTCAAGGGCGCTGCTGGCCTTTGAGCCAGACTATCCTTTTCTTTTTCCTCACTTTTTCTTTCCCAGGGTCCAGCTTTCACAGCCATACTGTGAAGACCATCGCTTTAACTACATATAATCCATGTTGTCATGGAAATGGATTTATCCTTCTTGATCTTGTCTGAGTTTTGCATAGCTTACTTCTGTAGGATTAATCCCTTGACACCTCCAGCATACTGTCCATCTGCATTTATTCTTGGGCCCAAGATAACAAAACTCTACTACTTTCGCTTCTTCACCATCAGCTAAGATGGGGTTGATTTTTCCATGTTTATTTTCACAAAATATTTTTTTTAATGCTGGGCTAACAAAGAGGCATTGCCTGCATATTCCACATTCTTAGTGTTTTGACCTTTTTATTCCCAGCTTTCTCCCTTTGCCCATGATTGATGTTTGTGAAAATAATTACTTACCCTTCTCTGCACCGTTCATGAAACATTACCACGTATAGCACTCTTCATCATGTGGTGTCTGTTGCACGTTTCCCAAAATTAGATTTGCAGGACAGGATAGGTTAAAGATGACACTAGATTACACTCTAATCTGATCGATGAATTTTGCATGGAATTTAGCACGACATACTTATTTTATAAAACATGGGTACACTGTAACGAGCAGCATGAACTTCCACAGGTCTCTGCAGAAGTAGATTGCAATTTTTTCTGTGGGGCTAGGCTTTGGCCATAAAGCCCCGGTCATTAGTGATGGGGAGATCATCTTTACCACATGCAGTAAGAGTCCCTAAAACTAAACGCACACTAAGCTGCGGTGTATGCTGGAAACGAGGAGTCAACTTTTAGGCATTGTGATAGGCTCCTGAACAAGGGGCAGGTTTTGAAAACAAAGGAGACGCCCCTTTACGAAGAAAAAAAATCAGCTGGGCATTCCAGTTTCGCGGCCACGGCAGCGGGACCCCCTCCTAGGCGTCCCCCCTTGAGGGAGGCGACTTCCCCCCGGCCAGCCCTCCCCTCCACCCATG